CGGGGGGGAGATCTCTGAGTTCAAGGCCAACCTGATTTACAAAGTGAATTCCAGGACAGCTAGGGTTACAAAGAAATCCTGTCTCAAAAAACCAAAAATATATATTTTTTTAAACAGGGTAGGCAGCCATTCAGGAAACAGATGGGATTCATTTGTCAAAGATCAGCCCTCACAGTAAGTCTGAAGATTTTGTGTGTGTGTGTGTGTGTGTGTGTGTGTGTGTGTGTGTGTTTATGTGACCTCAGGTGTCAGAGGGCAACCTCCAGTGTCAGTTCCTGCCTTCCACCTGGTTTGAGAGATAAGGTATCTTGTTGTGTGGTCACTGTATGCATCAGGCTAGCTGGCCCACAGTGTCCTGTCTCCACTTCCCATCTTGCTGTGAAAGAACTGGGATACCGATGCTCAATGCCTGGCTCAGTGCCTGGCTCTACATGGGTTCCTAGTATTCACACTCAGCTCCTCACAGTGGCACGGCAAGTGTGTTTTTGTCCACGGAGGTATCTCCCCAGGACCCCACTGGCATGTGCTGTATGCAAGCACAAGAGGGGGTGGGTGCACTTGCCTGTGTATGTACATGTGGAGACCAGAGGTCAACTTTGACTATGGTCTTCCATTGTTCTCCACCTCATGTTTGGAGAATGTCCTCTGTCTCTGACTCTGAAGCTTGCCACTTCAGTTAGACTGACTGGCCTTGAGACCTGGACTCTGCCCATTTCTGCTCTGCTCCCAGCTCTAGGGTTGCAACCATCTGCCACCAGGTCAGGCTGTGGATTCTGGAGAATCTAAACTCAGGTTTTCTTATGCAGCAAGCACTTTACCCACCAGCTCCCCAACCTCTTGAATCCTCTTTTCTTTTGTTTTTTGTTTTTTTGTTTTTGTTTTTGTTTTTAGAGACAGAGTTTCTCTCTATAACAGCTCTGGCTGTCCTGGAACTTGCTTTGTAGACCAAACTGGCCTCAAACTCACAGAGATCCACCTGCCTCTGCCGCCACCACCGCTCAGCACCTGAATCCTCTTGTAACTTGGAGAATGGCTGGTTTCAGATCACAATCCCCTCCCAAAGTTGCCCCATCACCCCTGAGGTTCACACATACCATGCTAAGGGCGATGAAGGAAAAGACAGCCACCACTGTAAACATGACCGTGGGAATGAGCATCACCACTGCCGAGCCAATGTTTGTCCCGAAGAAGGAGATGGTGGCGATCCAGCCACTGTAAGGAGAAGCCAGCTATGGGACTACGGATGGTAGGAAAAGGGAACCCAGAAGCCATCCCAGGGATAATAATGTAGGAAGGAGCTACACCACTACCCACAGAGGGACCCCATTTCTAATACTCCATAATCGATGCTTCCAGAGCTCCTGAGCCAGGCTTTTCCTCCCCAGCTTTCGCACAAAGTCTGACTCTCCTTGGTCACCCAGACACCCCTTCCTGTTTCTCCTTCCCCTCTAATCCTATGGTGAACTATTCCACTATCCCCAGACCCCTCATGCTACCCACAACAAACCTCTTGGTGTCCTTAAAAGCAAATCATCCTAGTACACAGGTAAACAAACAACCCGAATGCTACTCCAACTAGCCCCAGATCAGTTCGTTGTCTCTTACCAGACACCCCAGCCTGGAATCCCCACAGCCTGGATGATGCTGATGACCAGTTGGGCCATGAAGGTGAAGAAGAAGGCCATGAAGCTAAAGGAGCTGTCCGTCCTGTGGCAGAAAAGATGGTTTGTCACCTGGGCAGAAGCACTGGGCTTCCCTGTACCCATGAACCCAAAATTCCTCGGGGCATAAATGATAAGGCTATTTAAAGGCTTTAAAAGAGTCTAAATAGGATGGCCTTCATCCATAGATCTTTAAAGGTTTCCATGAGTTATGCCTATGTACAAGAAAGAATGTCCTCATGAAAGGACCACCCATGACACATGGATCGATGACCCTACTGGCATGGAGACAGGTGGTTCCACTGTGGGAAAAACAAACAGCTCCATTACCAAGGGACTGGAACAGGGATGGGTGGCTCTACAGAACAGAAAATCTCAGGGGTACTAGTAGAGATACCTTGTTGGCACCACGAGAGTAACTAATTGGCACATAATGGTTAGTCCTATTGACAAAGAGATTTAAGGCTCCATTGGCACTGAAATGTATATTCTGCAGGCATCAAGACAGCCTTGTTGCTATGCACAGCCCTAATGACACAAAGACTGAAAATCCCAGCTGGCACTAGGTAGACACTCACTGGCACCAAGACAGCTAGCGCCATCAACACATAGATAAGTATTCCCTTTGGCACAGTATTGGATGACATCATTGGCACATGAACAGTGTCAGTGGTTCTTGGATGGCTGGTTCCAGTGATACATGAAAAAGGGTTTTCTTGGTACCAGATCAGTCATTTCCCACGGGTACAAGGATGGACAGCTCCACCAAGAAACCCCATAGGCAAAATCTGACAAGCAGGATAGACTGAAAGGGAAGGAAATAAGAAGGGTCCCACTCTCAACCCTCTCAACCCAGCCTGGAATTCCCAGGAAACCCAAACCCCACCTGACAGTCCCAGTCAATGGTTAACAAAGAAAAGAGCAGACAGAGTTTGGGGAATAGGAGACAGAGGGAAATTGGGGTAGCAGTTGAGGTCAACACCAACCACTTACTTGAAGGCCTTGTAAATGGGCCGAAACCAGCAGACGTAGGAGCAAGGTGTGAAGAGGATGAGCCAGAGAAAGGCCAGGCCAAAGTTGGTGGCTCCCCCGCCTCCGATCAGCCACGCGAGACAGCCCACCAGGTTCACGGCCAGCGTGACGCTGTTCACTGCAGACCCAGGAGCACATGCACACACAGAGATAGACACCAGATACACACACAGACACCAAAGTCCATACAGAGATGTGAGTATCCAAACATGGAGGCATTCGCCCAGGATTCCATATAGACTCACAACCAAATGCATAGCAACAAGAGACAAGCAGCAAGATACAGACATATACATACAAGTGCAAACATACACACAGATGACCCACAAATCATACCAATGAATACACAAAGACAGACACACACAGAGGGAGTACAGACTGTAAGAAAGAAAGCTGGGAGCTTGGGCCAACCCTTCCCCAAATCCCTCCCAGGAATCTGAGAAATCCCAACAATCAAGAGTCTCTAGAGCAAGAACCCAGAGCTTCTGCCCAGAAAGCCCCCTGGAAGGACTTCAAAGCCTCAGGATCCTGTCCTTTTAAAGAAAGGCCTCTGGGGTGAGGGTGGAGGGGGCTCAGTGTTAGAACTGAGCTTCACATGCAAGATGCTGAGGTCCATCCCTAAGACTACAACTCAGTCCTCGGCTCCCCCAAACCTACAGCAACCACCAACCCCAAGGCAAGAGATCCATCTTATATGTTTTCTTACAAAATAGGAACATGAAAGCAGGGAAGAAAAAGACATTCTGGAAGCATCTCTTCAAACCACTGGTCCACCTGCCTGGCATGACAATGGACCAGACAACAGTGGCTGGGAGTTCAGTCCTTATCTAATCCATTTCTCTGACTACCATGATTCTTCCAAGATGTCTTCCTTACCTATCCCACTTTCCCCTGACCTGCAGATCTGGGCTGCTGTGCAGTTCCCCAAATATAATTCCAGTCCAGCATCCAAACTAGAAATTACTCAGTGGTGAGATCAAGACTCCTCTTCCTCTTTCTCACCTCACCTAGAAGATCCTAGGACATCACTGAATCACAGCTGGCAGAGGTCTAAAGGCTCTTCATTTTACAGATTAAAAAACAGACATTGGCACTAACATACGCCTAGGCCTTCAGACCCCAGACAAACCCCTTCCTTGAACATCGGGCTGAGTCCCCAAAGACCTGCTGAGTTAACAAAGGAAGGTGGGCTCAATCTAGGCCTCAAACAGCCAAGCTCCAAAGCTCATCTTCTGAACCTCAAGGCTTAGAGACATTGTTTCGGGACAAAGCACCTGACAGGCACCTAGTAAAGACTTAAGGAGGTATTTTTAGCCCTCAAATCCAGCTTCTGGGCCAGATCGTCTCACAAGGCGGAGTTCAGGAACCTAGGGCCAGGCAGAATGCACCCCTAAGCCTGACCTGGCCTGCTAACTATGTTACCAGTGCAGCTACACCCATCTCAGTTCCCCCATAACAAATATGGACACTTCCTATATATTCCAGATGTTTCCTGCATTCCTGTCACTGCTTCAAAGTTTCCTAGAGCTTTGTTGTTCTTATTGATTTTGTTTGTTCTTTAAAAACAACATTGTGTGTGTCTGTGTCTTTGCCATAGTGCATGTGTGGAAGTCAGAAGACAATTTGCAACCCTAACCCTGATTCGGTCGGTTCTCTCCTTCCACTGTGTGGCTCTAGGGATCAAATTCAGGTCGTAAGCCTTCATGGCAAGCCCTTTACCTGCTGAACTATTCTGTTGGCCTGTATTTGCTTTACACACAAAAAAGACACTACCCATTATCCTAATGGCTAACATCACTCTTCCCAGGCCCACCCATCTCTAGTTCACTTGCTTCGGAGTTTGAGCACAGTTCTCCTCTCTGTCCTTGGGATAGACACTCCCTGATTTAGCCGCACTTCTCCAGCCAGAGGCTTTCTCTGTCTTTACTCTTCTCCCTGTCCAGCTTAGAATCTGCAATTCTTTTTTTGTTTGTTTGTTTGGTTTTGCTGTTGTTGTCTTTCAAGTCAGGGTTTCTCTGTAGCTTTGGAGCTTGTTCTGGAACTCTGTAGACCAGGCTGGCCTCAAATTCACAGAGATCCGCCTGCCTCTTCGTCCGGAGTGTTGAGATTAAAGGCATGCACCATGTGGAGTGTTGAGATTAAAGGCTTGCGCCATGTCTACCTGGCTATCCTCTGTGATTCTTTGTTATACTCTCTTCCTTTCACCTTTCCTTTCGAGACAGGTTCTCACTGTATGATCCTGGTTGACCTCGAACTCACAGAGATTCATGTGCTTTTGCCTTCTAAGTGCTGAAATTAAAAGTGTGCATCAACTAAAACACACATCCCTGCTGAGCTGAATGTGCCTACGGAGAAAAGGTTGCCCTGGGGAAGACTAGAAGGCCTAGAAACTCGTAGAAACCAACATCAGATGACCCTATGCAAACCCCAGAGATCTTAGCAGGGGCATTCTCACCTCACCTTCTGTTATGAACACAGGCACCCACCTTCCCTCCCCCAAAAAACCCCACCCTCAATCCTCCTCTCTTTTATTATTATTTATGTGTATGGGTGTTCTGCCCGCATATGTATCTGTGTGCCGTATGTGCAGCGCCTGTGAAGGCCAGAAGAAGGCCTGAAACTGGAGTTACAGACAGTTGTGAGCTTCCATGTAGGTGCTGGGAAGTGAACCCAGATCCTCTGGAAGAGTAGATAGTACTCAACACTGAGACATCTCTCCAGTCCCACCCATTTTCTTATTTAATGGGAAAAACAGAAGCCATTAAGAGCAATCTCGTCTTCCTTCCAACACCTATAGGCTATCCATATCTGTCAAGTTCCTCCTCTTATGTTACAGGACAGGGGAACCTTTTCTGCCCATAGGCCAAGTCAGATCCTGGAACAGTCTGTGAGCCTGACCCTCTGCTACTACTGTCACATGAAGGGCCTGTTGCAAAGATGGTGTTTTTCAATATGTGTGTGTGTGTATGTGTGTGTCTGATGTGTGTGTGTGTCTGATGTGTGTGTGTGTCTGATGTGTGTGTGTGGTTCGTCTCTGTTTGAGTCTTGTGTGTGTGTGTAGTGTATATATATCTGGGTATGTGTGTGGTTTGTCTCTGAGTCTCAAGTGTGCGTGCGTAAGTGCATGTGTGTCTGTGTTGTGTGTATGTAGTGTGTGATGAGTCTGTGTATGGCAGTGTGTGTATGGTGTGTGTATATATATATATATATATATGTATGTATGTATGTGTGTGATTTGTCTGAGTGTGTGTATGTGTGTAAAAAGAGCGGTGGGCTACATTTTTGCCTGGCTAGCTTTACCCAAAATAATTACACGGAAACTGTATTCATTTAAACATTGCCTGGCCAATTAGTTATAACCTCTTATTGGCTAATTCTTACATATTGATTCAACCCATTTTTATTAATGTGTGTTGCCACTTGAGTGTGGCTTACCAGGACGAGTCTAACCGGGGTCCATCTCGGGGAGGAGAGCTATGGCGTCTGACTGCCTCTGTTTTCTTTCTCCCACAATTCTGTTCTGCCTACTCCACCCACCTAAGGGCTGGCCTATCAAAAAGGCCAAGGCAGTTTCTTTATTAACCAATGAAAGTAACACATAGACAGTTAATCCTCCTCCATCATATGTGTGTGTGGTGTATATCTGGGTACGTGTGTGGTTAATCTCTGAGTCTCATATGTGCATGTGTGAGTGCATGCGTGTGTGTGTGTGTGGTTTGTCTGAGTGTGTCTGTGTGTGCGCGTGTGTGTGGTGTCTCTCTGTGTGGGTATCTGAGTGATGTGACTGTCTGTGTTGTCTGTGGTGTGTCTGTGTTTGCCATAGTGCACAAAGGAAAACTTTCAGGAGCCGTTCTTTCCATCAACCTTGTTAAGGCAGGGTCTCTCTTGTTTCTGCCTTCCTAGCTTCTGGGGGCTTGTCTCCTGTCTGTGCATCCCATCTCACCCTGTACTGGGACTACAGGTATGTACCACCACATCCAACTTTTTATGTGAGTTCCGGGTATTGAACTCAGGCTGTCAGGCTGGGGCAAGTGTGCTCACTCCACATTCACAACTGAGATACTGCACTATCCCCAAACAGCATTCTTTACAACCTTCTTGGCACAGCTGAGTGCAGGTCTAGTCAAGGCATCTGAACAGTCACACCGCAGCCTGTCCCCACACATGCCTAAGCAGTGTCTTCTAACTACCCTGAGCCAAGTCAAGTCCATACACCTCATGAAGACACCACCCTGCTAACCTGCCACAGAGCACCGGAAACATCCTCATCCTTCGATCCTTAGAGCACTAGAACTCTTGACCACACCGCTACCTGGAGCTGCAGCTATCAGGGAGTCCTTCTCTCCTTCTCCACAGAGAACCTACTATTTGGGAACTAGAGCAGACCAACTGGATTCCATGTCCCCTAATTCCCAGCTGAATGCTCTTCTCTTTGAGCAAGACATCAAGAAACATGAGGCTTTAAAGGAAGGATTCTTCTCCAAATCCAGAATCTTGGCAGTCACCACGGGTTCCCTGGAAAAGTACTCCAGTGGGGCGGGGTAGAGAGGCAAAAAGAGAAATAGCTCTGCAAAAACAAACCCTGCTCTGAGGCTCTGCAAACAAGAGAGAGCAGGAGGGGAAGGAAAAAGAGGTCTACAGTGAGCAGTGGAGTTGACCGGCAGGGGGGAGCTTGCCGGGGACCAGCAGGGGGAAGATTCCCCAAGCCATGCAGACCCGACAGTTGGAAAGCCGGATGTGCACGCGCAAGCAGCCCTCCCCCCCCCCCCTCCTCCCCAAAGCCAGCCCCTCTCCCTCATTCCCGCAGTACTCACACATCCACAGGTAATATAGACGCTTGGTCAAGCTGCGATGCTGAGGAGGAATATCTGCCTCGAAATCTTGGTAGAAACATGGCTTCAGCGGAATGAATTTGGGCAGCGGTGGGAAGTTGTTCACTTTCTCTGTGGGCGAGATACACCGCAGGCCATCACCCGGACATCTCTCCTGGCCTCTTCTTGATCCTATAGGTCCTATATGCCCTAGCACAGCTGCCTACAGAACCTATCTACTCCTGGCCCTGTGCTCTGGCTGCTTTGCTATCCCCTCCCAAATGTCTCTATTTCCTTAATCTGCCAAGATGATCCCTAAGAAATCGGGTCATTTCTAGACAGGGGCCTTTCTGGCCCCGGGTTATTTCCAGACAGGGATGAGAATTCTCCCACTCCCGGGTCATTTCCACACAGAGGCTTTGCTGGCTCCAGGTCATTTTCAGACAGGGAGTTTTGCTCCCAGGTCATTTCCAGATGGGGCTTTGCTGGCCCCGGGTCATTTTCAGACAGGGGCCTTGCTGACTCCGGGTCATTTTCAGACAGGGAGTTTTGCTCCCGGGTCATTAGACAGGGACCGGCATTCTACAGACCCTGGGTCATTTGCAGCTACCTCAGAGACAGCTGTTTGAGTTTCTCCCATAGTGGGAGAAAATGTCACTATGTGTCTTGCCCCTGAAATTTGTCAAAGTCCTTGTATGCTATGTTATGGTAATTGTTGCTTTGTTTTCTTTCTCGAGGCTCCTATGGAGCCCCAGGCCCCTCCCCCCAGCAGTTAGGCATGGAGAGGAGAGAAGCAAAATCTTGGAGAGCACCCAAAAGGAACTAGGCGCAGAGAGGGTAGGGAATACATGCCTGTGACTTATAATGTCGTTGGGGCTACTACACTGGGTACGTGGTGATCCCCTGGAGTTCAAGAAAACTGTTGTCTCTTTGTTTATTATGTTTAAGACTAGACTAAAAAAAAATAATAAGACAAAACTTAAACATAAAATGCAAATGACTTGACAGCAGCCCATCTAGGGTCTGTATCCCTAGCCCTGAGCCAGGTCTGATGGCAAGAGAATACACTGTCTGGGAAATGCAATATGGCAGAGGATCTGGATGAGGGCTGGGGGGCTCCGAGGTCAGGGAACAAGGACACCTGAAATGGAGCGGGTGGCAAAATCATCATGTAGCCGGCTGAGGGCAGAGGAATGCCTCTTCAAAAGGCAGGTGGTGGAGCTAATGACTGAGAGAGGCCGGCTGCAGCAGAACAGGGCAGCCCCCTCTCCCTTGTTCTCTCTCTGTATCTTGAGGGTCTTTGCCTTAGGCAGGAGAGAGGGATCTACATGCAGATGGCAGAGAATTGACCGCTTGCAATTAAAAAACTGTGCAAATGTAAAACAAAACAAAACAAAACAAAAATCTAAGATCATGGTCAAAAAAGTTAACAAAAAACTTTTTTAAAAAAACATTGACAGTCAAGGACACCCTCTGTGCCCACTGCTGCTGCCCCCTTTTCTTTTCTGAACCAAGTTCTTCAATATGATAACACTCAAAGGTCTCTTCTACTGGCCAGCAGTTTCCTGTCTTAACCCTTTCCTGTCCTGATACTGCTGCTTATAAGAAGTTTTCAATTATATGAACCTGTAACTTTAAAAAATGTTGATTTTAAAGTAAATGTCAAAAAAATACAGTATGTTTAAAAATGCTTTTGTTTCCACAGGAAAAAAAAATTTGGGTTACAAATACTTATCACCTTTAGTTAAGATGCATATTTCTGCTTTTGTTTTATACAATGTTCTGCTAAATAAAATCACAAAAAAGACTTTGATAAAAATTTACACATTGTCTAAAAAGGTTTTTAATAGAGGTTTTTAAAAGACCAAAAGATATTTGCTATAATTTCTTGTACCTAACTGTTTAACGGTTAATTCTGGTTTTAAAAAGCTTTATTTGTCCTGTTAAAGGGTCATGGTTATTCTTAAAAAATTATATATATTTATTTTATTAAAAAATTAGTCTTTGGTAATTATAAATTTTGTACTTGTAATTCTTCTCTGAGCTCTGGTCATTAGATTCGGGTTCGCAAACATTTGGATGTCTTTTTGATATAGATAATGTTAAAACTGTTTTATGCTGTTCTTTATTGATATACAAGAAAGTCAGTTACCACCGGGAATATCTGGGATTAAACTCCCCCCCCCAAAAAAAAACTACAAAAAAACTACAAAAAACCACCAATGCCAGGTAATAGTCACCAGACATGTCAACTATAATAAAATAGGTTATAAAACATATATGCTTATAAAATATTTCATATTGTTAATATTTAGATTTTAGCCTCATTGTCTTTGCTAAGATCATTACAAGTTCAATCTAACAAAAATATGATATATAGTTCTGGACTGTTAAAAATACAAATTAATAATCTTAATAATCAGTCATCCTCAAATACTGATATAAGTACATGGATAAGCCTTATTTAGTCCCCTATATATGTTTTAAAGCTTAAAACAAATAATTTTTAATAATAAAGTCTGTCCAATCAGAGATACCTGGACAGCCCTAAATACTTCAGAGATCTATAGAAAATGGCATTTAAAACAATGTTTAAAAAGCTTATATCAGACAGAGACTTTGAGATCCTAACAGTGACCCAAGGTCTCCAAAGAAGACTATGAGACACCACAATGTCTCCACCTGGATAATGATGACGCTGACCACTGGGAGAAATGCCCCGATGATACGACCTGCTGCCAGGACCCAGCCTAGACTGTGGACAAACAGTAGGACCTTGGAGAATTGATTGCACCGCTTTTGCCAGACAAAATAAGGCCAGTCTTTTCCATGTCTCTCTTCCACAGAAACCAATCACCTTATGGGCCTGGTAAAGCCTGCTGTTCTGATACTGCTGCCTCCAATGCTATGGAGACCTGGGTATGCCTGTATATGGGCTGGTCTCTGTCATTTTTCTGTTTTGTCTGTACTTAAGTATAATTTATTTATCCTTCTATGATCTCTGATTATATTTAATGGCTAGGCCAACTATAATATCAATTTAAAAGCAAAAAGGATATCCAGATCCTTACACAAAGCTACAGCCAGCTTGTTAACTCATTACATATAAAGGTCTAAGGATATAAAAGTTCATAAACATTAAGGGTTTAAAAAATAATTTAAAATAATACTAATAAACAATAAAACAATGACCACATACTGTTTGGGTTACAAGTTTAGGATTTTCTGTTTTTGCTGGTACTCAAAGGTATAAGTCTATTTTTACTGTTTTATAAATATCTGTTACTTGCTATTTCTATAATATGGATTTTAATATGGGCCTAAAAGTTTCAAATGTATTAACTTCTGTTCCTAGTTTAAATGTCTCAACAGGTTTCCCTTTGGTTGGCGGACACAAACAAACATTAATTGCTGACTGCAACCTGCTCCAAATGACTGTGGACCATGGACTTGCTAAAAATTTGATATGGACCAGTCTAGCTGATATAAATGCTCCCTGGCTCTTCAACAAAGTCCACAAACCAAATGTTCCTAAGATTTTCTCTTTTTGACTAGCATTTCACCTTTATTAACCCTTGACAATGACACCCCAAAGTCAGCTGGAAGCAATTAAAAGAATACACCGTCCAATAACCCCTGTTTAAAATGCTAAGTCAAAAGAAACATAAAAAGACTCTAAGTTTAAGAGACAATTTGGCCAAAGTTAGCAAAACCAGCTCATGATTGAGCTGATTCTTAGGACCAAGAGGATCTTAGGACCAAGAGGAGTGGGGAATGTGGGGCCTTCACCCCTTATTCTCAAAGGGGCAAGAAGAAATTTCTTAGCAGAATGTTTTCCCAGGAAGATAGTGGCCTTCCCCTCTCCCACCCAGGATATTGTGAGCACAAGGGCACTTAGCTCAGCCCAGCCAGCCACCTGGTACAGGCTGATAAAGATGGCCTAACTCAAGAACAGTGGCCTTGCTCTAAAAACAAGGAAAAAACTGACTTAACAAAATGTGAGGGAGCAAAAGTCCTTGAACCCATGCCAAAGCATCTTCAAAAATTCTCTTTGCAGTTATGCCTTTAAAAGCTTACCCCACAGAGGAGATACAACTCCTCTCTACCTTGTTGTAACGGGGATGGAGATGAGTTCCAAACATGTTTGTATTATGCTGATTAAACCTTGCTTATTACAGTCTGGGCCTCTCTGGTGGTCTCTTTCTGGGGGTCGTGATCTGGGCACAACAAGGTAACACAGGGACAAAGCTGCTACTTTGTCTGCTGGCCGGAAAGAGGGCCATCAAGATGCTTGACTCAGGTCCCCAGGCTCAAAATCTGACTTAGGACTGGACGGTACTATGTTCTCAGATAGACAAGCCACACTGGGGTGAGGGGTAAGAAACCAGGAGACGAGAGTGCATACAAAAAGAGCAGGACTTCTAACAAGGGCCAATTACTTTATGCCTTTTTCATGTCTACCCCAACATGGCCCACTTCTCCTTACCCGCCATGATGGACCAGCCAGCCCAGTAGTCTGCTCACACCTTTGTCCTGAACTGGAAGGAAAGAGAAACGAGACGGGAATGAGGATCAGAACATCATCTAACGTGGCTCGCCTCTACACTGCGGCTGTGCTTCACGCTGAGGCATGACAGGCTCCCATTCCCGCTGTGGCATGAGCCCAGATGGAGCAGCTCTTCACCTGCAGGAGCCGCCACAGCATCATCCACATCCTTAGCTATTTCCACCGTGCCAGTCAGTTTTAAAGGCCAACTTGTTGCGATCTAGAATCATCTGGGCAGACAGCGCCAACTGAGAAGCTGCCTCGATCAAGTTGGTACGGGCAAGGGGGGGGGGGGGCTGTATTGAATGTTAATGTTGTTAATTAATGTGGGAAGAGCTAGAACATTGCTGGAGGCACCATTCCCTGAGCAGGTGATCCTGGGCTTGTAAGTGAAGAACACTTGCTGAACATGAGCCAGTAACCAAGCGGCATCGCTGTGCTTCCTTCTCTCTGCTCCTGACTATGGATGAGATGTAACTAGCTGTTGAAGATCCTGCTTAACTTCCACTCAGGGATGGACCTGGAACTACAGGCATCACAAACTCTTCCCTCCCTTAAGTCACTTTTGGCCCGTGTATTTTGTTTCGTTGTTTTGTTTTGAGACAGGGTCTCGGTATGCAGCCCCAACTGGCCTGGTACCCCTATGTGCACTAGGCTGGTCTTGAACTCACAGAGATCCACCTGCCTCTGCCTCCTGAATAGAAACTAAAGGCATGTACCACCAACCCCAGCTAATCAGGATGTTTTAATAACAGCAAAAGAAATAAAACTAGATCCACCTTTTGCCTCAGGGCACAAAGTCTATCCTCAGAAAACCCCACCCAGGGCTAGTGAGGTAACTCAGCTGGGTAAAAGCCGCACATGTCTGATGACTAGTCAAATCCCTGGAATCCACATGGGAAGAAGAGAAACTTGCCCTCTAATCACATGTAGCACACACAATAATAAAGAGGTAAACAAATAAACAAAAAACTCACAGAAGGTAGGAAAGAGCATCCCATTCTCTCACCCTCACAGGCGAAGCTGGCCTCCTTCCTGCCATATGCTCACTTATTAGAACTTCATTACCTGCCAGGTACCAAGGAAAGAGACAGAGCAGATACGGCCTGTACCCTGCACATGAAGCAGTCCAGAGCCCCTGCAGGCAGTCACACAAGGGAAACAAGCCTTCTGCGCTGGTGTGCCCGGGCAGCCCTAGCACTTGGAGATTGGTGCAGGATAATCACAGGTTCAAGGTCAACCTGGGCCACTGGGATTTCTAAGGTTATTTAAGAGCTTACTTACTAGGGACCTGGGGGAGGATGTGTGGAATAAAAGGAAGGAAGCAATCAGGCAGACTCCTGACCACGTATACCACTGGGCAAATGATAATGGCTCTCAACCAGAAGCATGTGTGAGAAGAGGTACAGGGGCCAGGAAGACAAGCTGTGTCATGGGCACGGTGAGAAGATTGCCAGGCAGCGCTTCGTGCTGTCATTTGGGACACACAGGGTCAGAAATTCAGCAGAAGTTTCGCTGGCACATACATTAAGTCATCACTGATGAAATAAGGTCATTGAAGTCACTGTGCAATCACCTACTGGAAGAGCACCCTTAGTGGACCTGGACGTGACCAAGATCAGAAAATGGTCAAGGGCAATGCAATGTGCCATTTTCAAAGCTTGACTGACATTTATCTAAAGTTCCATTTTGTTTTGTTTTCAAGCAAAACTAATCTACGATGTTAAAAGTGAAGACACAGGGCTGGGCAAGATGACTTAGTGAGGCCAGGTGGTGTCAGTGCACGCCTGTAATCCCAGCACTTGGGAGGCAGAGGCAGGCGGATCTCTGTGAGTTTGAGGCCAGCCTGGTCTACAGAGCGAGTTCCAGGACAGCCAGGGCTACACAGAGAGACCCTGTCCCAAGGAAGCAAAAAGAAAAAGTCAGAGGGAAATATAAATAATGTCAACAATGGATTACAAAACACCGAGTGAAACGGTGTACATGCTTTATGTCATCTCAGCGCTCAAGACGCTGAGACAGGACGAATACAAGGTGAAAGTCAGCGTGGGATGCAGCGTTAGAGAGGAAGAAATGAAGGGACCCTGGATAAAGCTCAGTGGGAGATCACATGATTAGACTGTACATGGCTTAGGCAAGCAAGATGGCTGAGCGAGTAAAGAGCTGAGCCCAAGCCTGATGACCTGAGGTCAGTCCCTGGGTCACGCACGGTAGAAAAGAAACAGTTCCCACAGCTCGACCTTTAACTGCCACAGGTACTCCACGAGGCTCACATGCCTATGTGCCTACACACACTAAATAAATGTAAAACTTTTAAAAGGGGGGGTTGGAAGATGGCTCAGTGGGTAAGGGCACCGGTTTCTCTTCTTGCAGAAAACCCAGGTTTGGTTCCCAGCACAGACATCACAGCTCAAAACTGTAATTCCAGTTTCAAGGACTAAGTGTCCTCTTCTGACCTCCGTAGGCACTAGGCAGGCACATGGTACACAGTACACATGCATACATGGAGGCGAATCACCTAGACCCATAAACTGAAACTAAATCTTTCTTTTAAATAAATAAATAGCAAGGCATAGCATAGAATGCACAAGCCCCGGGTCTAATCATCAGACCCTAAACACAGTGTGTGGGGAGAGGACAAGGCAAAGTCCCTTTTTTTTTTAAGGTGTGGTATTTTATGTGTCTGAGTGTCTTGCCTGAATGTACGTCTGTGCACATTGGATCCCCTGAGACTGGAGTTATGGATGGTTGTGAGCTGCCATGCGGATGCTGGGAATCAAACCCAGGACCTCTGGAAAGAACAACCAGCACTATTACCACTGAGTCACTGCAAAGTTCTTTTGATAAAGTAGAAGAAATGGCAGATTCTTAAAAGTTGCCATTCTGAGGCTACAGATACCAGTCGGTGGCTTTCTGTGCAAACATGAGAGACCTGAATGTGAATCCCCGGTACGTAAATAAAAAAACTGGATGTGACTACATGCACCTGTAACCCACTGCTGTTGGCATCGGAGACCAAAGGATCTTCGGGGCTTGCCGCCTGCCTCGCCAAAAACAGCAACCTCTGGGTGAGAGATCTTGTCCTCCTGTGACAGAGCAGGACACCTGACATTCATCTCTGACCTCTGTATAAACTTACATGAGCGCGCGCGCACACACATACACACACACACACCAATATACCACACATACACACACATCTCCACTCTGCAACGCCTACATAACAAGGGGCACAGGTAGAAATTACTTGGCTACCAAAACCACCATGTGAAGGTTACTATAGAAAAGCAATAGCGTGGGTGTCACATTTTAGGCTGTTTATGAATCTTGAGAGAGAGAAAGTATTCCTAAATGAAAAGAATTCGGCAGACCAAATGATCAAACTTAGCATTCATGATAACAGAATAAAAAGGCAATGTGTGCACGGAACTCTTCTGTGTAATGGCGTTGCCAAAAAATACTTAATCTGAAAGTAAGTATGAGTCAAGCATGGTTGAGCATGCCTACAGTCACAGTAGAGGTGGAAGCAGCAGGACCAGGAGTTCAAAACCAACCTGAACTACCAAAGGCCTCACAAAGGGGAGGACGGTTATTAAAAGAGAAAAACAAACTGTTCACAAAAAGACAGCTTCCTTATGTGTTTATACACACACACAAACACACACACACACATGATACCGAGTTAAATTCACAAAAACAGAAAAAAAAAGTAATAATCAATGGAGGAGGAAGAATCTAAAAGGGGAAGTTTGGGGCGGGGGGGAACCCTGGTATAAGTAGGTAGGCTGAGCCATGAACTCAATAGGTGAGAAAAGTAGACGCAGGCAGGTGTGGGGCACTGAACTACAGCAGGAGTCGGCCTCATGCTCCCTGGGACACTGTACCAGAAGGACAAGCTGGAATGAGAGGAAGGAGCCAAGAGCAGGGCACTCCGCACATGGGCAATTACAACACCACCTAAGTGCTCTGTGACAGTAAACACAGAGCTGTGGGGAACAAAGCACCTCCCTGGTACCTGCCTGTGGTGCCAACAAGGGCTCCACAAAGGAAACAATAGCAGATCTGAACAGGTAAAGATCAAATAGGAGTTAGCTGGGCAAAACGTGTAAAGGAAGCAGAGCAGGCCAAAGGAACAATGCATCCCTATTCAAGGAATACAGAGGCAGACTGAGCAGAGAGCTTGAAGAGGAAGGAGAAAAGGATGGGCAAGAGAGTTGCAAGGGGCTAGAGAGACTGTCTGGTGGTTAAGAGCACTTTCTGTTGTTCTTTGACACTCATACATGCAAACACATACACAAATATAAATAGATAGAAAATAAAAGCACGCAATGGTGTCACATCCTTTTAACCCCAGCACTCGGAAGGCAGAGGCAGGCGGATCTCTGTGACTTTGAGGCCAGCCTGGTCTACAGAGCAAGTTCCAGGACAGCCAAGGCTACACAAAGAAACCCTGTCTTGATAAGCCAACATAAATAAGTAAATGTAAAAGAAAATGAGCTGTAGAAGAAAACTTCTAGAGCTGGGGAGATGGCTTCGTGGATGAAGCACCCGCTCGAAAGCCTGAGGACCAGAGTTTAACTCTCCAGCACCCATGTAAATGCCAGGCAGAGCAGTAGCCGATCTGTTTCCCCAGCTCTCCCATAACAGAGAAGGGGATCTTCAGAGCAAGGCAGCTATGAGAGAGCCACATAAGGACACACCTTTAATCCCAGCACTTGAGAGGCAGAGGGAGGCGGATCTCTGTGAGCTCGAGGCCAGCCTGGTCTACAGAGTGAGTTCTAGGACAGGCTCCACAGTTACTGAGAAACCCTATCTCAAAAAACAAAAAATAGATAGATAGATAGATAGATAGATAGATAGATAGATAGATAGATAGATAAAAAAGAAACCCTTCACATTGAAAATGCCATAGGGGAGTGGTGCTCACCTCTAACCCCAGTTCTTGGAAATAGAAGCAGGAGGATGCACGGGCAAGGCCTCTGGCTACATCACTGCGTTTGAGGGCACACTGGGCTCCAGGAGACCCTGTCTTAAAAAAGACAAAATGAAAAAGAAAAAGGCAATATCAGGGCCAGAGAGATGGCTCAGAGGGTAATCAAGTCTGATGATTTCAGTTCAATCCCCCAGAACTACAAGGAGAGAACAGACTCCTTCAAGCTGTCTTCGGACCTCTCCACATGAGCCAAGGCATAAGCACAATGCACCAGTCCAAAACACACACACACACACACACACACACACACACACACACACACACAAATGAATAAATTTAAATTCTCTTAGAAGGAGTCTTATTATATAGCCCTGGCTAACCTAGACTCACTATGTAGACTAAACTAGCCTTGAACTTGCAGAAATCTGCCTATCTCTGCTTCCTAAGAGTTAAGATTAAGGCATGCACCACCACACTGGGGAATTTTAAAAAATATTTTTGATAATTTTACATATAAATACTGTATTTACATTACTCCCCCTTCCTCCATGCCTCCTCATGTTCACGGCTTCTTTTTCTCTAGTATTCTCATACATGTGTATATGTATAAATAAACACAACGGCCAGGTGAGTACATTTACTGTTGTTCATATATACATGTATTTAGGGATGACCATGTCCTATTAAATAGCCAATTAGCTCATTCCTGGGGAGTACTGATTCTCCTTCCTAAGAATTTTTTTTTTAAGAACAAAATCAAAATTTATAAGGCACATACTTATAAGCCTTGTGCTTGGGACAAAAATGTTAGAAATCAGGAGTTGAGGCCATCCTAGACTACCATGAGACCTTGTCTTAAAAAAAAAAAAATAGCCAAGTTGGAGACGGTGGGCAAAGGTGCTTGCCAAGCAAGCCTGGAAGCCTGAACTCCATCCTCAGATTTCACACAAAGGTGGAAAAAAACTGACTCCACAGGGTTGTCCCTGATCTCCATATCTACCCATAGATACATCATGTGTATGCACATGTATGCACACACACATACACACACAAACTCAAACCTTCCCATAATCTACTTCCTCAGAAGCCATTCCTTAAACTGCCCAAGTTTTAGGACTTTCAGTTTCTATTTGCTTTGTGGTACTAGGGATCAAACCCAGGACCTCACGGATGCTAATCAACGACTCTATTCTTGAGCCAAACTTCTAGCCCCATCCTTTCCCTCATTTTAATGTATACTTATACATACACCACAAAAATGAGATTATACATGCTGGATCATAATCTGAGTTTTTGCTGGGTCATAATCTGAGTTTTTGAGACAGGGTCTCACTGTGTAGCTCTGGTTGGCCTGGAATTCTCATAATCTGACTTTTTTTTCCTACTCAAAAAAATCTTATTTTGTTTGTTTGCAAGTATGTCTATGTGTCTTGTGTATGCAATGCCTGTCAAAGCCAGAAGAGGGCATCAGATTCCCTGGGATGTGAGTTACAGCCAATTGTGAGCTGTCATGTGGATGCTGAGAATCAAACCCAGCTCCTCTGGAAAAGCAGTCAGTGCTTTTAACCACTGAGCCACCATTCTCTAGCCCCACTCAACATCTTATAAAAATGTTTCAGCAAAACTCTGAGAACCCTGCACCCAGACGTGGGCATGCACTCTCCTTTCCCTACATGTCCGTCTCTCTTAATGATCAAGTTTAGGTTTATATGAAAATCATTTCTTTGCTTTCTTTTGCATGTGTGTGTGTGTGTGTGTGTGTGTGTGTATTTGGGTTTTTGCTTGTTTGTTTGTTCTGTTTTCAAGACAGGGTATCTTTGTGTAACCCTGGCTGTACTGGAACTCACTCTGTACACCAGAAGGGCCTCAAACTCAGATCCACCTGCCTTTGCCTCCTGAGTGCTGGGATTAAAAGCAAGAATACTAAATTTTTAAAGTCAGATTTGCTGACTTTAATCCCAGCCTCTGTGAGGTAGAGGAAGGGGGTTCAAGGTCATCTTTGGGCTAAAGTTTGAGTCTGAGGACATCCTAGGTTACAGAAGAGGGGAAGGGGCTGGAGAAATGGCTCAGCAGTTGGAAGCAGGTGCTGCTTTTGCAGAGGACCTGAGTTTGATTCCCAGCATCCACACCAGGAGACTTAGAACCCTGTGTAACTCCAGATGTGCAGAAGTCTGCGCACCTCTGGCCTCCAAAGGCATCTATGCTCACATTCATAGATCATGCACAGATGCACACACATGATTGAAAAGAATAAAATCAATCTTTCTGTAAGAGGCCCACACCTGTACCCCAGCACTTGGGAGGGAAGCTGAGGCAGGTGGCCCTGAGTTTAAGGCCAGCTTGGACAACAGGAACTAAGAAGCAAGACACTGCCTCAAAAAGAAAAGAAGAGAGACAGAGAAAAAGCGAGAGAGAAAGCACAAATAATGCAGAAGCTGGGAATGTGCATAGACCTTTAATTCCAGCACTAGGGAGGCAGAGGGAAGCAGCTCTTGGTGAGTTCAAGCACAGCCTGTCCACATTGTGAGTTCCAGATCAGATGGAGATACATAGAGAATACCTGCTTCAAAAAGCAAATGACAGCAAAGGAGCACTGCAGAACCCAAGGATCTCAATCCAGTTTCTTCCGTCATTGAACACAGCCAAGTGAGCTAAACACCCAAGACTGTCCATACAGACCTCACAGCTGGTTCAACCCATACGTACGCTCCCAGGCCACACTGAGATGACTCTCACTGAAGAAGAACAAAATGTTCCTAAGCCAGTAAAGAAAGGCACTTGCCACCAAGCCTGACCGCCTGCGCTCCCTGGGACTCACACGGTAGCAGGAATAAGCTGGTTCCCACAAGCTGTCCTCCGATCTCCATACATATGCTGTAGCACATACATGTACACATAGTAAGTAAATAAATGAAAAAAAGAGATTATTTTAAGAAGACTTATTTAATGTGTTTGGGTGTTTTGCCTGCATGTATGTCTGTGTACTACGTGTGCACAATGCCTGGAGAGGAGAGTATCAGATCCCCTGAGTTATCTAGGGTTATAGATAACTGTAAGCCACCATGTGGGTGCTGGGAACTGATTTGCTGCAGGTATGTATGTTTACCACATGCATGCCTGGTACCTTCCACAGTCAGGAGAAGACACTGGAACCCCTGGAACTGCACTAGACAGCTATGAGCCGCTGTGTGGGTGCTGGGAACTGAACCCAGGTTCTCTGGAAGAGCAGCCAGTGCTCTTAACTACTAAGCCTCCTCTCCAGCCCCAAGAAAAATATTTTTGAAGGAAAGGAAAGCTTTCCTATTAATGAGTACAGATCTATCTTAATCTTTTTAATGACTGGCTAACTAGGTCAACAATGGCCATGGCTGTGGAGCAGTCGGGTGTGACAAGGGCAGACCTAACAGTTAGAAGGTCACAGCTTCAAGGAAGCCGTAGAGTAAAAGTCATGCTGCCAAAAAACTAGGAAAATACGAGTGGGAAGAAATCTAGCACTGAAATGATGGCTCAGTGGTTAAGCGCAAACCATGTGGCCCCTAACCTGTAACTCTAGCTCCAGGGGATGTGACACAGCCGACCTCCACGGGCACCTGCACTCACGTGCACATACCCACATGCAGATACACACACCTCCACGAAACCAAAACTAAAATCTTAAAAAACAAAACCCAGGCTTGATGGTGAATGCCCATCACAGCAACACTTGGGAGGAGAAAGTGGGAGGCCAGCCTGGGCTATAGAACAAGAGCCCACATCAAAAGCAAACAAGACCAGGGCTGGGCTGGAGCTCTTCGTCTGCGCAAGGTCCAGAGTTCAGTCTCCTACACCCTACAAATGGGTGTGGTGGAACACACCCATAATTCTGGATCAGTTCCAAGTCATTATCAGCTACACAGCGAGTTACAGGCCATCCTGGGCTACATGAGAACATCCCTATAACCCCCCATCCCCTGCAAAAGAGGAGGCTAAGTACAGCCTGGGCTACAGCATGAGACCCTGTTTCAATAAACGAGCAAAACTACAACAGATATGACACTGGGCTAGAGAGCTTTCTTCCAGGTTAGGAATCTTAACTACATTTACCAATCAGGAGGAAGATATCAAAGGAGGCAGTAGAGAGGCTCAAGATACTGCAGAGGAGGGAAGTGACTGATGGTCAGCGGTACTCCGGGGGGACACAAAGGGTCAGTATCCATAGTACCGAGAAGCCTTTTCCACAAGGCTATTCCGTACTAGAATTCAAGAGATGCATGAGGGTGCTGGTGGCTCATGCACTGGGGAGGTAGAAGGCAAGGCCAGCCTGGTCTACAGAGCAAGTTCCAGGGCAGCCAGGGCTACACAGAAAAACCATGTCTGGAAAATCCAAAAGAGAGAGAAAGAGAGAGGCATGAAAAATGCCCAGTGATGTTGCACATGTATATAATCCCGGCACTTGAAAGCTGAGGAAGGAAGACCAACATGTACAGGACAGCAGCCTGGGCTACGTGATGAGGGCCTGTCTCAAAAGGAAAACAGTGAGAAAAGGAAGAAGAAAGGGCTGGAGAGATGATGGTAAGAGAACTGGCTGCTTTTCCAGAGCTCAATCCCCAGCACCCACATGGCAGCTCGCAACCAGCTCCCACTCCAGTTTAGGGGATTCAAGTTTAGGGGATTCTCTTCTGGCCTCCAAAGGCACCAGGCATGCAGACAAAACACTCATATACATAAAATAAAAATAAAAATTTAAAATTCTTATTTTAAAAAAGAGCACACAGACAGGTAGAGAGGCAGGAACATGGATGTAGCTCTGCCTCCCTTAGGACACCCTGATCACTCTCTACCTGAAAAAAGGACTTTGGGAAAGCAGTTCAAGTTGGACTGTTCCTCCCATGGCACTGACTGCAGAGCAGATGAGAATGAGGGAGGAATATCCAGGCTTTTTAGGTGACACAGGGTGATGACTAAGACAGGACACACTGCTGGAAGCAGAGTTAGACTGTCCTAGTCTGACGGTCTCCAGAAGTTTCCCTCATTCTGCGTGTAGAATCCAGAACTGGGGTCTTCTGGGTAGGGCATGTAGGCAAAATGGCCCAGTGATTGAGGGCATGGAGCCTGAGGACACAAAGGGGCACT